AAAAAAACCTTTTTTGGAGAGAGGGGGTGGAGTGGGTTGGTGAGGGTGGGGAAGGTTGAGAAGGAGTTTTGGAAAAAACTTTCCCCTCTCTTGATAAGGAAAACATTTTCCTCCAATAAATGAGTTCATAAGGAAAATGTTTTCCAAAACATTTAAGCCAATCAAACATGGGAAAATTGAAAAATATTTTCCTTCGTACCAAACACATCCTAAATCATGGAGCGAGAACAACGAATTGTGTACCTTTTTAATGCAGCAGAAATCGTTGAACTCACCATAAAAAAAGTTACTCCAAGTCGAGCTTCGATTCACTAGGAAACAAAGTTTATTCTTCACGAACTAAGTATCTCATTATTTTTTTTTGTGTATTTAGAGATAATCAGAAGTGTTTACCTTGAAAATGGTAATTACAATTAAATTTGATTTGTAGTTCTAAAAATACGTGATCTATTTTTATGCTAGTTATTTAGGCAATAGATGCTAAATGAAACACTTGGAAACAAAATAAGAGCTAGAAAATAAGGTGATAACCAAACCGACTGGTTAATAATCGGGGCCTCGGGCTTGCCAGTTCGGGGCCTCGGGGTCAAGTCTGATGTTCGGCTGGGAGCTATCGAGGGTGGATTAACAGTTATGATAGAATCAATGACGGCTCTTTATGGCCAATAATAAGCAATAAATGAAGAACAATAAATGGAACACAATGAATATAAGTAATAAATACAAGTAATGAGATCAAGAGAATATGTTAGAGAGTAGAGATAATGTTCTTGTGCATTCAATATTAAGCAACAGATGTCTACAAAATGACAAGGATCCCCTTTATATATGAGGGAAATCCTAGTATGGTACAAGTATATTTATTACCAAGATATGAGATTGATACAACTATTTAATGCCTCGGTACGGGCGCATGTCAACCTGCCAACTCCCATCAAGTGCCTAGGGAACTCCCCATTTTTCTATGGTCGCCGTCCAACCGTATTGTCTCTTAGCCAAGCATTTTAGAGACTCTACGAGAGCCCTTCCTCGGGCTTTAAGAGGCGCATTTTTGGAGTCCCGAAATGATCATAAAATTAGTCCCTCGGATTTTACCTTATACAGATAGTCCCCACGGTTCCTAGAATAAGATGATAGGAAATAGTTCTGAAATTTTACACTCGCCGTGACGTCAACCAGTCAGGGCATTAAATTTCGTAATTCAACGGCCATGCAAGGGTCGCTGTCAGCACGACTATCGAAGAACCTACAAACCAATATTGGCTATTTCGCTGCCCATACGGCTTCTATAAATACCCCAATTGCTTAGTGACTCGCCCTTTAGTGATTCCTTCAAGCTTTCAGAGCATCCATCTTCCCCTACGCCCCCTTTTCCTTTGCTCTTTGTTTCCTGCCTTCCTTCTCGAGAAAAATAAATTTTTTAGTTGCTATGGCCAGAACCTCTAAGAGGGTGCCTCGGAAAGACGAAGCTGCCTCTTCGTCTCGAATATCCAAGAATAAATCCAAGGGTAAGCCCAAAGTGGCTCCTACTGTCGAACAATGTACACCCACCGAGTTTGATAGTATGAAGGATTTTTCCATCGAGAGACCTTCATTTATGCCAAGTCGATGCGAACACGTGTCCCGGTTCATTAACGTTGTGAAGGATATAGACAGAGTGCGGGCTGACTACCAATGAGGGAAGAAAGTGTTGGTTGAGATCCCTAGCCCTAACGAGATCATAACGGACCATAAGGCCGATTTTCTTTATGTATACACATACCCGTTCACCTTGGGCCATGTTGACTCCTCGAACCCTTCTTCTCCGGCTATAGACCCGGTTATTCTCGACTTCTGCTGTAAATACTGGGTGGCACTTGGCCAAATTTACCTCTATTTCTGGAGGATAGTTTACATGTTTCGCTACTTTTCCAGCAAAGTCAAGGATACGACTTTTACCCTTGATCATCTAATCAGGCTATATAACCCCTGTCTTTTTCGAGGCTTGATCAAGCTTCACCCTCGATCTTCGAAACCCTTTTTCTCGAGTATCGATGAGCATAAGGATCGGGGGTGGATGAGCCGATTTGTCCGAGTGAAGACCTCGGACATTATTCCGGCTGAATGGATACCATTCCCGGAGGAGTGGAACATGAAGCGTAAGTGTTTTTTCTTTGAACATGCTTTATTGTCTTCTTACCTTCTTCTCAAAAAACTAACTTTCCCTTTTCTCACATAGCCGCCCTTTGGTATCCCAAATCTGTTCCGGACCTGTTGGGGTGGATTAGGGGATTAGACGCCTCGTTCCCCTATCCCAAGCGTTCTTGGCCTGAGTTGGCTAAAACATGGTGGGTGGCCAAGAATCATGGTAAGCTCCTTCTTGCCGCCTCTATCATGTTACGATATTTCTTCCCCATATCCCCCGTATTGATAAATTTTGATTACTATTCTTGTGTATGCCTTGGCAAATGAGTGCTGATGAGACCGCCTCCCGATGGCAAGGAAGAGGTTCCAAATCCTGATAAGGGCAAGAATAGTAAGAAAGGGGCGGCCGCTGAGTCCCCTGTGGCAAAGAAACCTAAGTCATGCAGACCTCAATCTGCTGCCAGGACCTCGACTTTAGCTTTTGGAGCAAGTTCCAGTACCGGGGATGAAGACGGCGATAATGATGGGTACTGTTTGGTACAGAGGACGAGGTCGGGCGCGGATGTCCCGCAGGCGTGTGGGCCAAAGGCTACTGAATTGGGAGAAGTTGATTTAGGTCAATCCCGTGCTGCGGAGACCTTCAAGGAAGGAACGGACATGGTCCCTGAGCTCCTAGTCGGTCATGGTGTAGTTCCTGTCGAGGAGACCGCTTCTGCTGGTTCCAAAGGGTCCAGACCCGGAGCTTTTCGAGGACAGAATTTGCCCCTTGGTGATATCGATGCCCTTAGTGGCCTTAATTTGGGTCCTCGATTCTAGCCCGGGGAATTCACGGATGCACAAGACCAAAGGTTACCAATGTAGGAGGCCCCCTCGAATGGGGAGATGAGCTTGCCAACTTCCTCGATGGCGTTGGTAAAGGCATTGATCTCGACGCTCTCGATGCTATCGAGGAGGCGGAGAGGCTCTATCAGCAGGTGATAACCTTTACGTGCATGCTTTTAGTGCTTTAAGTATTTCTCCCTGTTTTTATGAATCATTTGCTTTGTTGTAGGCCAAGAGAATGTACGACCATGTTATCTCTAAGCTGCGAGATGAGCATAGGAAGGAGGTGGAAGGTCTCACCTAGGGGCTGAAGGAGTCGGAGGCTTCCTCTTCCCGAAAGAGGGAGAATTAAGCGAGCTTCGGGCGAATTTGAAGGGAGTGCTCCGAGAAAAGGCAGGCTTTGCCGAGCAGGTAACTTGGTGTTCATAAACTCATTCGTCATCCTCACAATTCGATGCTTACCGACTCATCTTTTCCTTTGCAGATCGAGCAGAGTGATGCTCTTATGGGGCGACTTGGGGATAAAGTTGCTGTTATGAACACGGAGATCCTCGAGCTGAGGAGGCAAAATGAGGTCATGGCCTCGAAGTTGACATCGGCCCAGGATATTCTCCAAAATGCCCGAAAAGAGGCTACTACACTATCTGTGGCCATGTCCGAGGTCGAAGAGAATGTCGCTATGTACCTGAAAGATACCGCCAATGCAAATAAACTAGCCCGAGAGATATCGGAGAAGGCCGAGCAAAAGCTGGCTCAGACCGTCGCTTATGCACGTACCAAGGCAAGGAGGCAAGCCCTAGAGGAAACCAACGCTAAAGGTGTTAATCTCTTAGCTGAGAACGAGGAGGCCCGAGATTTGGAGGAAGAATTGGCACTCTTGGTCACTTTGGACGAGGATCCGGGAAATGGTTCAGAGAGCAGCGGCGATGAAGAGTAGACCTACGTCGCCTTTCCTTCTCTTTTTTCTTTTTGTGTATGAACCTTTCAGGGGAAGAGTCTTGTAAAGACGCCCCTTGTAAATATATTTTT